TGCTTAGCAGTTACACTGAAGACCCATAAAATAGATTGGGATAGGACAGATGTGACTGGAAGAGAGAGATGGGGCCTTGATAATCACCGCCTCTTCTTATTTATCTGTGTTGTAGCTGAACTGAGGTGATACTTGCGTTAATTCCTCTCATTGTCAGCCATTTCATCTCCTTATAAATAGTTAATGTGAACAAATGTACAAGATACAGTTTTCTTTCCAAAACTCCCACTGTTCTGTCATTTCTTGTCTCAGTGAGCATCAAATGCTTTTCTATTTTTCAGCGGGTGATTATAAAGGGGGAGTGACTTGCGTTAATGGCTTCATTATAAGTTTTTGGATCATAAAGTGTATAAATGATGATTGTATAATAATCCGTATACGCTTGAACAACAGTATTCCTAATTAAAGCCTTAACTAGCTCTCGCCCGCTGTGAATTAAATGTTTTTAGAGCAGTTAGCATTTGCATGCTGTAGCGTGATATGTTTGCTTTTGACAATGAGTCAGGAGGCATTTGATTGGATATTTTTGATGTTGGCGGAATCAAATGGCCCATGGGTATTTAGTTTGTGAGGTCGAGTTGAGTCAATTATTCATTGAGTTTTTGAGGTAGGCGAAGTCTAAATGATAATTGGGGATTCTGCTTTTGAGGTGGGTGGAGTTAAATGGTCAAATTACCATTAGGTATTTTGTTTTTGAGTTGGAGTCAAATGCTTATATTTTACATGAGTTAATTCCTATTTGATGAGCACCCTTGAGACCAAGATTAAGGTGAGTCAAAATTATTATTGGGTATTATTAGGTTAGGTGTAGTACTTCACACTTTGTCTTGATTTTTTGAATTATATGTAAATCCTAAACCTTGTAGACCAGGATTGCTTTCATTTCATTTAAGATTGGAGAAGTCTAAATGGTAATTGAACATTGTATTTTTAAGGTGGGTATAGAGTCAAATTCCCACTAGACATTCTGTATTTGAGGTGGGTGGAGTCAAATACCCAACCTGTGCTCTGTTTTGAGGCTGATGAGGTCAAAATTATCATTGACTGTTCGGTTTTTGAGGTTGGGTGGAGTGAAATTCCCATTAGACATTCTGTTTTTAAGGTAGATTGAGACAAATGCCTAATGAGCATTCTTTTTGAGGTGGGTGGAGTCAAAATTATTAAAGAGTGTTCTGTTTTTGAGGTTGGGTGCAGTCAAATGCCCATTAGACATTCTGTAGTTGAGGTGGGTGGAGTCAAATACCCAATGAGTGTCAAAATAATAGGTGCGTCCGACTTCATGCAGCACTGCGCAGACCGATCGGCGGCTGACTTGAAGCAGTGCATGCCGGTTAGAAATTTAGTCCGACTTGAACCGACGCCATGTCACTGTCACGTGTGGCATCAAAGTACCGCGATAGCGTTTCGAGAGCAGCCGGCTGACTCAGCTGGCACAGCTTTTTCAGAGCGACTGCAGGAGTGCTGATGACGACACAGC